ACTGTAGATTTGAGTTCAAGTTTTGCAACATTTAAGCATCGATTTTTTTGCCCTTGTGTCTCTCTCTGCTGTCGTCAAATGAGCAAACTGGTTTTTTATTATTATCCTTGATATATTTTCTGTTTTCTTTTTTCCAAGTGGCAGCCAACAGGGGGTACTATAGGCCTCAGAAAATTGAAATGCAAAAAAAAAAAAAAAAAATCAATCTTTTTAAAACTTTTTTTTTTTATAACCGTTTGTCCTAAACTTTACACACATAAAATGCCATAATTCCAATGGTATTTGAACGCACCTTGTTTGGCCACTACATACAGTATATGGCATAATCTGTGTAGACCTTGTGGTTTGCTTTTTTTAGTGTTAATATATTCAATAATTTTCTTATGCTAAACTAATAATTAATAACAAATAATAATTACTTTAAGTGAAAAAAGGAAGGAAATACATTCTAAAAGTTGAGCTGAATATTTTGTAGCATTTTCTGTGGGTTTCCAAAGGGGAAACAGTCCTGAGCCATAAACCCACGGTGTTTGGGAGAGCGTGGCATCAAAGTTTGGAAACTTCAATGTTTGTTCCACGAACAGATTCCTCTACTTTACTAAATCCACATTTACAATAAGCTGTTGTTTGTTAATTTGTTCAAATGTATGTTGTGATCTCATCTCCTACTGAATTTTTCTCCATTTTCCTCTTGAGTTTCAATGTTTTATCCTGCATTGTTTGGGAGTCGGTGATATTTGCCAGGAACCTGTACAGATATACAGTGCAGTGGTAATGGATTTTCATTTTATTGTATTGACGTTTACTTCCACACCTGCTTTATAGACTAGCCCTACTAAGCTAACACAATGACACGCTATTGATTTTTTCTTTTTTTGTTTTCTTCTACTTCCTGGTGCATTCTGCAGCATCCTCAGGGCTCAGCACAGCTTTAGGCTGGCATCTGGTATGCTGTTTCAGTGTTATGATACAGCTGAGTCCTTATGGGATTTATCTGCACTGTGTGGCTTGGGGTATCATAAAAAGTCTGACTGCAGTGTTGCCTTGTGCTCAAACCCATGGAAGTCAGGAGCCAGTTGAAAAAGTGTTGGTTCTTACAGCTGAAATTCAGAGTGAAGGACAAACGTGTCGAGCTGTTAACCCGTCAACCTGTTAACCCGTCAACCTGTTAACCCGTCAACCTGTTAACCAACGTTGAGTCATCAGACAGATTGACATTTATACTGTTTCAACCAAAATTAATCAGAACTGTTATTATACCTATTCTAGTATAACAGTGACTTTAGTGATGATACTTGACTGAAGTATATGATTCAGAACAATTACCACTAAGGTGAAAGAGCACTGGAACCTTCAGGGGTTCAGAGGAGCTGGTATGGTGCAGTGTGATGTGGATGGCGACTGCTGCCCCCGTGACCTGGTAACGGATAAGTGGATGAAAATGGATGGATGGATGGATGGATGAATATGTAGCTGGTCAATTCGGAGCATTTACTTTTATTAAAATCATAGAACTGGACCGGAAACCAGACCAAGTCGACAAAAGTCAAATGATTAGCAACATATATGTTGATTGATCGTGATAATAAATAATAATGAAGTCGTTGAAGCTGGGCTGCAGGGTAAACTATCCCATCACTTCTAGGTTTGGAGACTGGATAGAGAAAATCCATGAGCAGCCTGTCTGTGCCCTACTAAAATGAAAATGCAGCTGCTCGTGGAATTTGCTCAGATGTGTCCTGGTGGCAGATGTTAGTGTAATAGTCTTTTTAACCGTGAATGTGTTTTGTTCGTTGAAGGTCGTAATGGGATTATAAAGAATTAAAGTGTCGTAGTTAGTTGTAATTTAGATGTTGTGTTAACGTTTTGTTTCCCTTCCCTTCTCTCCAAACCTTCCTCTAGGAGTTTGGAGAGATTGTGAATTGCACAAACAAAACAACCCCCTCCCCCGACCCCTCAGAGGTTATCCTCAGATAGAGAAGTCTGACACCTACTCTGTGAATGAAGGGAGATATCGCTGTAGGTTCGAGCTGCAGAGAGGAAAAGATAAAGTAAAAGAAAAAGTAAATAACCAAGACTCAACTGTCTTTTTATTCATTTATTACACTCATGTTAGAGTGAGTGCCAAAGATGGGACATAAAGCAGCAAACTCCAAATTCTTGTGTCTAATAGTTCTTGAGAAAAGAGAAAAAAGAATGACAAATATTTGCCAGAGTCCAACATATTGATATTTTTTAAAACGGTTGCTCTGAGGGCCAACATTTGTCCTTTACTTAAAAAGAACTTCCTGAAAATGATCCAGCTCTGCTTGTGTCAGCAGTGATTTCTCAGTAGAGGCAGTAGCATGTCTAACATTAACACGCCATCCAAGGCAGAATCCTCAGGTGCACGGCGTCATCGTCTGCCAAGATCCAGACAAACAAAGGCAATCTGTTGTTTTCCTCTCTATCCCTGATTCAAAACACAGCAATCTAATTAAAATATATAAGAAGGAGAGTCTCGTGTCGTTGGGGATCAGTGTTAGCATCGGAGGACGGAACTTTTATGGGAAAAATACTGATGTCATTCAAATCATTCAAACTTCACTGTATGAGAGTTTTGAAGTTTTTATATGTAGTTTCTTGAAAAGATGTTTTGATTTTGAAGATTCAGAACTGGCATCTAAAACATGCTTTGATACATTTTGTGTGTTTATAAATGTATACACACACACACACACATTTAATTTGTTCCTGAACTGAAAAAGTCAAAAACTGAAACAATTTCCCCATAAGAATCAATGTAAAATGGATTCATCTGTTCCTGGATCCTGGATATCTGCTGATTTGAACTTTTTCAACAGTATTTTGGTTACAAGTTCATACACAAAACCAAATAAAATAATTAGATCTAACCAAAAAAAGATACTGAATAAAGAATATAATATACAGTATATATAAATAGGAAAAACAATTTCATTCATCCCTACCAGTGCTGAGAAGTTGTGATTGCACAATGTTCGCTTTGCTTTCTCACAAATTATTATTCTTAGCGTGTGTGAATATATATATATATATATATATATATATATATATTTCAATTGTCAAATATATCAATTTCACGTTAGGAAAGTAGAATTTCCTGCAGGATTCTTCTGTGCATTACACTCTAGAGTATTTGTGGATGAAGACCCTTGACCACAACTATGTTTGCAGAAAATTAGCCTGTCAAATTTTTTTTTCATCTACACTGGAGATAGCAGTATATATTCAGACCTCGGAGTTCTATAAATTTCATGAGTTTTGCTTCTGAAGCGAAGTAAATCTCTCCCTTTTTCTCACTTCAAGCTTTTTTCTCCTTTTAGACACAAACATCAGAGTGTGTTCTGTCTTTTACATTCAGTTGAAGAGTGTCTTCAGTGGGCAGTACTCTACAGCGTGTCAGGGTTGGGGATGGGAGATGAGAGTTTTTTAGTATGCATCAACAAGTCTCTGCTGGTTAATAAAGAACCTCCAGAGCTGGAAGCTTTGCAGTGAGATGTGAAATAGGCCAGGCTTGTCTGACATGTACAATGTGAACAGACCTTGATATTGCACCCCTTCTTAGATTGCCTGCCAGGGTCCTGTGATAGCATCAAGCCCATGCACTTTGGCTCTCAGTATCCACCCAGCCACGAAGAAACGATGAGCTTCCTGTGGGCCCCAAAGGCTGTCGCAACCAATAAATCTTGTGCGGTGAGAGTGGAGGGCTGGGATGTACTAATTGCTTTATTGATTTGTAGTTTTGCTCCACAACAGCAGCTGATAAACACATCAGGGAGACAAGGGAAAGTGCATGGGCCTCTAGCACTTCAGCATTCACACCTATCATTTCTGAATACAGACCGTCATGGCTTTAGGAAAGTAACTGGCTTAGTGACTATAAATTATCACAAAGAGAAAACACACTGTCAGTAACTGGCTGATGTGTGTCTCCTGTTTATGCTGCGAGGTCAGGGCAGCAGAGAGCGAGGGAGAGAGAGAGAGAGAAAATAAACAGCCACATCCCAGTGACATTTGTCTCCAGGGCCTCATTCTGCTCTAATCAGTAGAACTAATATCCAGTACAGTCAATTAATTAAAACGGCTTTGGCATCATTTGTCTGCCTGGATTTAGTTATGCATCAATAGGCATGTTAAAAAAAGATTGAACAACTAAATGAAAATAATCGTGTGTCATGTAATTTAGTTGCAGTTAAAAGACAAAAACCACAGGAGAGTGGTGACGTTCAGTGGCTGCGCAGCCTTCACTAGATCAGGCTTACGTCACTAGGTTAACGCCAAACTGGGTCTGGATATTCTTAGGATAGATAATTGACACTAAAACCTGGATATTATCTAACCCGGTAATTTTTTTAATTTTTTTTTTTAAAGTGAGAGATACACTTGTACGATCCTTAAAATGTTCTTTATTCACTGTAACAACACAGGGTCAGTCCTGTCCATAGTCCTCACCACTATGTGATTATAGAAACTTGTTACACAGGCAGTTTGTCTTCATATTCAGGAATACTTGTCATGATTGCGAGTAAAAGTAACAAGTTTTAGAGTTGCTCATGTTTGATTTGAGCCTGCACATACTGTGGTTCTCTTAAAAAAACACATTTATAACAATAATTGACCTTAACCTTAAAATATATATTTTTACACAACTTTAGTTATTATTTTCATTGTGAAATTTAATGAATTAATGAAAAATAATGAATATATAAATTATTATTAAAATAAATATATGTATTCCACTGTTTTTAATTTATTTTAACTAATTTAATTTACAATAATTCACTAAACAATATACATTTCATTATTTTTAATTCATTCATTCATTTTTATTTTATAATTTTAATTGTAAATCGCTTTGAATAAAAGCGTCTGCTAAATGTATTGTAACGTAATGTAAATCATTTAATCATTCGTTTGTGCTCACACCAATACATTACTATCGCATGCTAGGCCACCAGGTGGCGCATGGTAGAATGGGATTTACGCGAACACAGCTTCCGTGATGGTAACGCCAGTAAAGTGTATCCTTTATTCTCACTATAGGTCAGTAAATATACACTCAGTCAGGTGTACAAACTACATGTAATGAGTTGAATATGTGACTGAAGTCATTAGCTGTGTTCATACGAGCGAAAGTAAGCGGTTATCGAGAGAGGGTGGATGTTAAGTGAGGACGTGAAGTGAATGCTAAGTGGCTAATGCTAAGCGGACCTGTATGGTAGTGAGTGAAAACAAATGGATGCACTATATGTATGCGGATGTTTGTTAATGAATGTGTTTAAGCAATATTAATTTTTAATTTGTTGTATAACTTTTATTTGCACATAAATTGATATTTTTGGATTATTGCAAATACCAGGAACACAGTGTTCCAAATTTACAGCGCAGCGTCATTGATAGAGTGACGGTATGAATAATGTAGTTACTGTAGTTCAACTCAAACAAAAATGTGTTTCATCAAAATAAACGTTTTTAATTCACGGTCGGTTCAACAGAACATTGAAAAGAAAATTCATGACATTAGAGAAACTGTTAGTTGAAAGTTTCTTCAGTGAAAACATTCATTTATTGTTTTTCATGAACATAACATAATAGAATGTTTTATTATTGTTATTAAGATGTTGTTGTTTTATAAAACCCTGCTGTGAAATGGCCAGATTATATGAAAGTTGTGACTAAAGCTAAGGCTTTTAGTTTAACAGCAGAGGTTTTGGATGTTGAAATATCTGTGGAATAAATCCTGCTGTTGAATGATAACACAAAACAAAACGTGTTTCTCCTTTAATCTTACCACAGATAAGAAAATGGGAAGCAACACAATTCAATTAGTGCTCACGAGTGAAAAATACCATTGCTAAAGATTGTGTGGTGTGCTTTAAATCTTAGAATAATAATTAGATGAGTAAATATAATCTATTTTATCAAGTATTGGACATTTCAGGTGACCCGAACTTAAAGCAAAACCCACGTAGGGTCCCTACCTCAAGGTTGAAAAACACTGCCTTACAGCAAGACGATCACCAGTTCAAGCCGTGGTAGTATCTGGTGGGTTCTCCGTATGCTCTAGTTTTGTCACTGCGTATTCTGTTTTCCTCAGACGATGTAAAGACATGCCAGATTAGGTTAATTGGACACAGAGGACCTTGGTTGTGAGTGTGAACAGATTAGGTTAATTGGACACAGAGGACTGTTGTTTGTCCTGGCTGTTTGTCCTGTGATGGACAAAGCTGGATAAAGTGTCCAGGGTGTACTCTGCCTTTGCCTATTGACTGCTGGGATTGGTTGTAGATGTAGAAGAGCCCTCAAAACTTCAACCTTTCCCTTGAATTGTAGGAGTGCTTATATACGAGCGAGACTCCTAATGAAGCCCCATGCCACTGGCAGGCTGCTGGAAGCAGCATCAAGGCATGAATCATGAAGCTCCCTCGCTTTCAACACAGAACGTGCTGGCAAGAGGAGGAAGAATGAAGGGGAAATAATCCATAAACTGTGCTTTGGTGCGTTTATTGTTAAGTATCACAAATGGGAGAAATTAAAGGGTTGACTTGCCTCCAATGTTGGCGGTGTACTGAGTTTTGTTTTATTTAATTTAGGCACCTGAACTCCCTTAAAGCTCCTCTGGTAAAACACAATATGCTTACAGTATATTCTGCTCTTTCTCCAACTCTTGAAATGGTGGCGAGAAGCTTTCTCTTTTTATTCTGCTGTTCTATTCTGCTATGATGCCAATAAATGTTTTCAATCTCTTAGGAAATTGTAGATGGCAGCCAGATGGTTTGGATTAAGTGCACTCCATGGTCACATTTCCCCATCTACCCGGACGTGGCGTCTATTTTCACAGACCAACCAAGGCCATAGGAGCCTTCTGAAAACTAATTCACTGGGCAAATATGCATTTCACTGAAGCAGCAGATATCAGTTTCGGGAATAGTTTGATTTTTGATGGAGAGGTTCATTAGCATTTTTATTTTATTTGATCTTTATTTACTCAAAAAAAATTAAGATAAAAATCTTGGAGTTCACAGTGTGTATCTGTTAATCACCCCAGTTTGGACCATTATTGAGATTCTGATCATTCTGTTTCATGACATCATTTCATCATTTCATTATGTAAATCTTAGTCTTAGTATTGCATTAAAGAGTGGTTAAACACTTTACATTTACACAAGATAAGAAAAAAAGTATCTAATAATTAATAAATTTTTTTAATAATCATTTGTCCTCAGATAATAAAAAGCTTCCTGTGCATCAGTGTTTTGTTTTGGTTTTTTTTGCATTTTTATTTACATTTTTTTAATATAACGTTTTGTTTCCTGTTGAATGTTTGTTTATATAAGAAAGTAATTTATTTGGATGAAACTAAGGAACAACCAATGGCTGGTTCCCAAACTTGTCCATGCCAAGGCCAAACAAGATTAGCTTCTGGCCAGGGACCTTCTTTACAAACTCACAGGCAATGCTACAAAAAAACCATCAACTCTTAGAACGTATTTTCTGCTCCTTCAGATTATTTCTTGTCAAAAAGCTGTTATTGTTGTGCAAGCTAGCTACATTCTAGTTTAAGGAGCACAGCAGTTCAATAAAATGTGCAAACTGCCAGGTCTGCTTAGATCATGACTTATAAGTGCACTTATCACACGAGTTGTGTTCTGGTACCATCAGTAACTTGAGAATCTGAAAATTCCTCTCAGTTTATCCATTCAGGACAAATAGGTTTTTTTTTAACCACTGGGTTGGTTTTACATCATTGACACTCACATGAACCTAAGATCATTTGAGCCAGATGTTGAATAAGCAATAAGAAGTGTCTGTCCATCATTACTAACCATGTTTGAAGAGCTGTCTTTTGTAACCATATGGTATGTGGTGTTCATAATTGGACTCTAACAACAACAACATTCACCACAATAAACAGTTCCTCAGCATTTATGTATCATGAGAGTTTCAGCCTAATTGGTGCCTAATGACTAAGTGAAAAGTAGAAAATTGTACTAAATTGTAGTGGGCCATCTGTGAAAAACTGATGATTTTGACAACTGACTGTTCTCTACTATTAACGACTATTTTCTCTCCAGCTTTTCCATCCCACAATATCTTGGTTTTTAAGAATTGTTATTATTAAATTTGCTGTAAGCTTGTCAGTGTTAACAGAGAGACAGGAGGTCACCACACACTGTAAAAAGACCTGAGGACATCCGCCGTCTTCAGGCAGCAATGAGCTGTCCTCATGACAGCCGTGGTGTTGGTGCGTTAGTCTTTTGGATGTTGATGGTGAGGTTGTTGTCCCTGCACCTCTTTTCCCTTCGAGCCTGTACCCTGACCCGTCTGTGTTGGTGATGAGACCTATGACCGTTGTGACCGAGAAGGACCACCAGATGGTGTTTGTGGTTAGCTTTGCAGTCCTGTGACTTAAGTTGTTTAGCAGGGGGACCTAGTACACAGCCTTGGGTCGAACCAGTGCGTTGGGAGATACTGGAGGATGTGGGGTTGTTGATCGCAACAGTCTGTAGACTGTAGTTTAGGAAATTCAGGATGTCCCAAGTTCAAGTTTACGTTACCAGGTGTGTTGCAGCACATAAGCCTGTATGTAGTAAGGTTACATTAAAATATGTCAAAGTGACACATAATTTTCATTTATTAATTTGTATTGATACTTTATAGGAATAATCAATACTCGTCTGTACCACAGAATTGATACTCCCATCACTACATGTCATGCCTGTTACTCTTGAATTGGAGAGGTTCCCCTCTCTTTGTCTCCATATTGCTGGACCTGTCCTGGTATTAAGCATGAGTCACTCCCACTGTACTTTGGACCTGTCCTGGTATTAAGCGTGAGTCACTCCCACTGTACTTGTAAAGTTCCACAGTGTAGACATCTTCAATTTTAATTAGTTATTGTTATTGTTATTGTTATTAAGGTAAAATTCATGCCAATTACTGCTGAAAATACTGAACAATTTACTTACGGCCATTTGAAGTACGAGGGGATTCCATATGGCAGAGTCCCAGTGGTGAAGGAGGAAAAGAGATAAATATGTCAATTTCTAAGTAATAAAGTCTCCAGTGACAGCAGGTAATGTCATTCTGCCATACTTACTATGACACTCCACATTAATATCTGGAATTTAAGCACATGCAAAGCAATACTGGCGTATTTGGCCAAGTACTGAAGCATTTTATTCAGACTAATTTGATTAATTTGGGTATGTTTCCCAAACAGCACGGTATCCCAGTGTGATGGATTTTCTCAGGTGTGACTGAGCGTCTTTAAACCAGAGGAAAAACTAAAGTTTAAAGCCTAAAACTGATGCTTTATGACTGGAGTCAGGTGATTATAGTGTTGTTCATACAGTCTTGTTCCAACTGGGGAAATAAATAGATCAAATATCCTTAAACCCAACACTCACATTAGATATGATGTTATATGAGATTACAATGTATTAGATTAGATCAGATCAGATCCCACACTGGGGAAATGTTAGGTTTCAGCAACAGAGGGACAGAGACAGACAGAATGCACACAGGGAGTGAGGGGGTGCTCGTAGTGTGTGTGTGTGTGTGTGTGAAAGAGAGTGCTTTACATCATAGTGGTGTTGTACAGTCAAGCGTTCCTCCTCACACGCTGGATGCAGCAGCCTGCATGCAGAGGTTGAGAGAAGTTGTCTAGATGCAGCAGCCTGCATGCAGAGGTTGAAGTTGTCTCTGATGGATTGCAGCGTGGCCCTTCCTGAGTGAGCTCCAGACAACAGTCTAGTATGAGCTGGTTCTCTGCAGCAGCCTGTCAAGGTCGTTTCTGTCCCCCTCTGTACATCCCCCACTCCAAACAGCATAACGCTCTGCTGAAGCCACCACGCTGTCATAAAAGGTCTTTAGAAGTGTCCTGCACACTCAGGGACCCCAGTCCCCTCAGCAGGTGGAGACGACTTTGGTCCTTCATGTACAGGACAGGTGTGTGTGTAGTGCAGTCCAGTTTGTTTCTGGGGTGAACACCCAGATATTTATAGGCCTTGTTGAGTTTAATGTCCAAAGCCCAGATGTTCACTGGAGTGGTGTGGGAAACAAGTCCTAAAATATAGGACTTAAACAAAAAATGACAGACTTTTGCTGAACTCTTGTGACGACTGTAGACTGATTTAAATTTTTGGGGACAACGGCTTGACATAAATTTGAATTTTATTTATTTATTTATTTGCATTTTTCCATATTATACTGTAAGTCCACCATGTCTTTATGTGAAAAACACACCTTATATACCAAATATATTTATGAAAATGGCTTATCTTGGATAACAAGAGAGAGAGAGAGAATAGTCAAAATGAATTACCATCAATTCAACCTACAATTAATCAGATTAAAAAAACATTTAATCGATTGACTGGCCTAATATATACTGTATATAGTGTATATTACTTACCTTATGGGAGTAAGACTAGCTTGGTTTAGCCTGGCCTCAATAAGGACTGACTTTTATACAGTTAATCTGAATGAAAATGTAACATGGTCCTTATAGGTGGCAGTGAAGAGCTCTTTAGAACTCTAAAATTATTTTTAGTCCCAGCCGCCTGGTAATATTACTCCGATTTGACAAGTAGATTCTGCTCCGTCAACACTTTTCTTGGCCTGTGTGCCACAAATCCTTGTTGGCTAAGTTACTACATGCTACATCCTCATGCAGCTAACTGCTAACATACAGATATTTTCACTAGCAAACACTACATGCTCCTTGTGTGTAATCACATGCACTTCTCATTAAATTATGTTGCATATTACCTGTAAAGTATAATTCAGTTAGAAGGTATGAGGTAAAATCATGTAGATCCATTAATAGGCTAGAAAAAGGGGAGCTACTGTACGTGACGTGATCAATGTTGACAAAAACAGACCACCACCATCACAACTGAACCAAACATCATTTGTCTTTGATCGGTGGGATGTGACATGCTAATCAATTTACACACAACACCAGATGCCTTCTGAAATATTAGGTATATTTTTATTTTGTTGTGATGGATGCACAAAATAATTGAATTTGTTGACAAAGACAGTTACTGAACAACACTGCAGTATTTAAGGCTGAACCAAGTTTTATGTACAGTAACTGGTGGAATCAAAGCATGATGTAACAGAACGGACATTGTTGAAGCACACTTTGACTTCCTTTGGCGTTAAACCATTTATAATATTTTCATTAATAATAGTTTCCCACCTTCCTCACTGTGACAGAAAGGTCGAAAAAATGATTAAAAAAAAAAAAACACTGCTCACTAAATGGCGCAGTGCAGTTTACTCATAGTTAAGCTGGTCTGAAGAGAAAGCTGTGGCAGTGAAAAACTGAGGAAAAACTGCTGCATTGGTGACATGTCTGTCAAGAACCTTAATGAGAAACACAGCATTAAGGTATGCCCTGTGCTGGAGCAGCGATATGGCTGAACACACACTTTTTTACTCTTGCTTTTCCATTAAGGTGTATGTCGAGTTATGCGGTCAAAACAATGCATTTCTGTAAACTTGATACATTTATAAAGATAAAAACAAATGGGGGATAATGACCA